TAACTTAACTTAACCTAACTTACTTAACTTAACTCAACGTAATCTAAAAGTCTCGATGTATAAGTCTCGATGTATAACTGATCTATGTAAGTTATCCCACGTATTTCTCCAGAGCTCCGCGCGGAAAAACCCTTCGCGATGCTTTCGGGAAAAGTCCGTGAATGTCCGAGTGCTTGACGATTTCATGGCCATTCTGCTGCTGGCGATTTCAACCAGGCTTACTAGCTTGTGCAAACCCTGAGTCAGCACAGCACATGAACCAATGAATCTATTCGACACCGACGCATTGCACAGTCGAAGCCAACCACGAACATCAAGGCCCTTCAGAGGCGCAAGCTTCACACACGCCGACATCCGGCAGCGTTCAGCAATGTATTCCACATGGCCGTATGGCTTCGTTCAGACCAGAAACTGTTTCTCACAGCTCGCCGTGTGCTTCACCTTGCCTCTCTTGCTCTCGCTTGCCTCACTTGCCAGTGTCGGGGCAAGTGGGGCAAGCAAGCAATAGAGCCGCCCAGCTGAGCAAGCGGAGTGGAAAGTAATTGTGGATGACAACACTTGATCACAACGCATTAACTCTTGCGCTCGGACGTTTCCACAAGAAGATCCACAATATAATGTCCTTCTAACTAATTTGTTAAACTCGGAAGTGCTCCGCTCGTCTATTGCTCTATTGGATCGAAATGACTGACATAGACCGTGCATCATCTGGTCGAATCTGGTAGGCAAGCTGTCGTGCCTGCCACTCAGTCTTCGGCGGACTCATCTTTATAGCTTTGACGCCCGTGTAACCTTGGCGGTGCAACCCTGTCTTCCAGGAGGATCATGCATGCTCTTTCTTGCAGGGAGTTGCGACCCACTACAGAGTTTCATAAATCTTCCAACCATTGTCGGCTAATAGATAGAAGCGTCCCAAAACTATAAGAGCCTTTGTGAGCGGGCGGCGGTTGATGCGGACCCTCGCGATGCTGCGAATGTCATTGTAGACGGGCCCCCACGCATCCTGTCGGCAATCACCACTCGTGCTACGAGACAGCTCAGCCTCAGAAAAGAGCTTCAATTCTTGTAGCAACCTGGATGCGGGACACGGTGGATCCCTGGTACAGGGACGAGGAGATTCGTTTCGCAGCCTCGCAGCTGTGATTCAATGAAGTGTTGGGGGTCTGCGACAAAACTTCAGACGATTAAGATTGCCTGCAGCATCGCGTGGATCAAACGGCGGATGCATGCCCCTTCTGCAGAAAGGTCGGCATCGCACAGCGGTTGCCTTCTGAGCTAGTCATGACTACACACAGCATCGTGTGGAGTAAGGTGTAGGCTCCGTTGCCTGTCTTGGGCATTGCGCTGGCTATGTGATGTAGGCGGGCTCGCGCTTCTGCGGAAGTATCGCGTTCCACAGTGTTCAGCTTGGGCTTGAACCAATTTCGAAACAGAAGCAGGATGTGGCTTGCTGCCGAGCGAGCATTGAGAGGCTGCCCCTCACACAAGCAAGCCCTCGCTCAAATTCGACTGTTTCGCAGGTTATCCTTGCGCAGCGGATCTGTGCTTCAAGTCATGCCGTACATTGGGTACTTAGCACTATTGCATAGCATCTCTCCTGTTCTGAGGCCGGGTCTGTGCCGAATCCCGGCTATCATTTGTAGACGGCTGGTCTGCTGCTTACTCTACCTCTCCGAGGTAGTCCTGGACTTCTGCAGGAGTCAGCACTCGAAACTTCCTGTCAGTGCCCACAATGCCGATCTCAATGTTCTCTGCCGTGATTGCTTCCTCAAAACCCTCCTTTAAGGTGAGGATGGCCGTGTGGATTGCATCCTCTAGCTCAATGTCCTCACTGTAGCGCTTCTCCAAGAAAGACTTTGCGTTGACATGGTTCTTGCCAATTGCCGAGGCCTTCCAACCAAAGTATGTACCGGATGGATCCACTTGGAAAAGCTGCGGGCCACTGTCATCAAATCCTGCGATCATGAGGGATACTCCGAAAGGTCGCACGCCGCCCGACTGTGTGAACTCTTGCATGATGGCAGCTTCTTCACGAACGATTTGTGAAACCGGAATCAGCTCACGGTACATGGTGTAGTACTGTTGGGCAACTTTACGCCCTCTTCGGAGCAAAACACGGTAATCTGCGGGCATTCCGGCATAGACCATTCCCACACTGTCGGAGAGGTTCTCTACTTTGGCCAAGGTCTTCTCGTCGACGAGCGGACTTGTGACCTTCTTTTCGGTGGCCAGAACAACCCCGTTCTTGGCCTTGATGCCTAGGGCGGGGCGCCCTTCAGCAACTCGGTTGAGGGCATACTCGATCTGCAAAAGCTTCCCGGATGGCGCGAAGGTAGTCAAAGAGAATGAATACTCCGAGTCTGTCATGGCAACTAAGTGAATGGATGAAAGAGCAGATGGGCCACAAATATCGTCTCAGCCAGAACATAGCATCGGGGAAAGCACATGCGCAACAAGCTGGCTGTCACAACAATAAGGCTCGCGAGAAACTTGCAGGCTGAGGCGTCCTTTTGTGACTTTGCACACGCTGCTGCGCAGATTTGGTCATTCACTGCCGTCCCGCATGCCTCGGGTGCGGACAACAGTCGTGGGAAGCAGTCCGTTCTTGCGCTGAATGCTTTCGTACTGCTTGGGAAGGCTCACCTTTTCTTCCTTTCTGGCTGCACATGCGAAGTTTCAAGCCGTACTGCTCACGACACATGCAGGCGAGCAACTGGCAGGACATCCAGCTACGTGTCTTCCAAAAATTAACTTGCAACACATCCTTTAAGCACCTCTTCCTACAGGTATTATCATCTTTGGCGCTGCTTCTCTGCGCCAACCCTCTGGGCCAAGCGGGAATTGGGCGCATCATACCGTGTAATGCTTTGGGCGGTTCTTTCTCTGGAACACATGGGCGATATGACTTGGAGATGAGTCAGATTTTCCTCACTGCGAAAAAGCTGTGGGTCAAAATATGGCTCAATCTTCGCTTAGAACTGTAGCGCGCAAATCAAGCCAGATGTTTCCGTCCTTGTAGCTGGAAACAAAAGCGGAAGGACAAACTTGTTCGCAGTCCTCGCGAGTTTGTTTTGCTGGGCTCCCCCGACCAGCCATCACCCCTCCACACCAAAAAGCCTACAGCCCCAACGATATCTAACCCTCCATTCAATGATCTTCAGGATCTCCACGGACAGAACCACACAGAACCCGTTGGACGCAACCTCGAGCTATTCTGTGAACACGGATTTTGAACGCCTTCCAAAGCAGCGGTCGAGCTCGACCAGATGATTTTGGAGGTCGTGGTGGTTGTGTAATTCTCTCCTGCACAAGGACTTACTCCCAAACGGGTCGGCTCCCTGTAAACATGACCCTGATATGACCCCGGTTTGCCTGCATGGCTTTGGCGGGCTTTGGCTTGACGGATTGTTCAGTGTCAGCTCGTTCTTTGACGGACGGGGCACGAAACCCTTTGAAACATGCCGCAGGAAATCATGGTGTCGCTCTGGCTTCACTTCGGATGAGGCGGGGCAAAAGCCTTGCATAAAGCTCGAGGCTGCCACAGTCGTAAATCGGAGCGGACTGCGACTTGTGCATGCTTCACACATGACGTCACATGACTATATGTCCCTTGAAGCGTGTTCGTCCGTGCAAGTCGCTTTGGCTGGAGCTTCGGATTTGCTTTCGAGAGCATGATTCTCGGGACCAAGACCCCGCAGAAATGGGCATCGTGTGTTGGCAAAGAACCTGCTGACCTGCAAGTTGAACTCCTGCCAAAACGTCATATATTGATTCTTGGGGCACCTGTGGGCATCATAGAGGTCGTGCTTGCTTCTGCGCCCCTGTGTAGGTCCCTGGTACTGAGCAGCATGCAGCGTTGGAGCGTGGACGATTTTTATCGGTGTTTGCAAAGCTTTGCTGCAGTTTTGGAGTCCTGGGGTGGACCGCCGGCCCGCGCAAACGAGCATCATTGGCATCACACCACGTGCGCTTCGTTTTTCAGTTCAGGCCGGCCATCCCCTGCATCATGACACCATTGAGAGTCTTGAGCGTTCTGTCGGGGCCTCTTTCTCTGACGGGCAAGATACCCTTTGCTCAATGAGGACCGTCTGGGTTCCAACATAATAACAGGACTGCGCCAAGGGCTTTATAGGGTCTAGGGTTTATCGTTTCGACGGTCAAGATATTGTATGTGTTTGCTCAACATGGTTCGCTTCGGGGGGGGTCAGGGTTTATCTTCGACGGGCAAGATATGCTTTTTCTCAACAGGGCTCGTGTCGGTTCCAACATAATAAAAGAACTGCGCCAAAGTCTTTATAGAGTTTAGGCTTTATCGTGTCGACGAGCAAGATATGCTTTTACTCAACTCAATGGGGCTCGTTTCGGTTCCAACATAATAAGAGGACTGCGCAAAGGGCTTATAGGGTCTAGGGCCAGGGATTATCGTTTCGACGGCCAAAAGAAATGTTTGACTCAACGGGGGCTCGTTTCGGTTCCAACGAAATGAGAGAACTGTGCCACGGGCTTTATAGGGTTTGGGGATTTATCGTTTCGACGGACAGGGGACAAACTCCGACAGAAACACAGAAACGAAAAATGGAAAACCGGCTGCTGATTTGGCGCCCAGCCCACTTGCCCCTGGCAACTTCCCCAAACCTCTAGCGAGCTGGGGCTTGTTTTGTCTTGTCTTCGGGGCATCGAGATCGTGTCAAGCCATGTCAAGCCACCAAAAGGCGCACCTCACGCCTGTTTAGGGGCTCTGTCAGAGGGGTGATGTAGGACGGCGCGCATAGTAGAACATGGAGGCCTGCGGCCCTGGGAGTGAGAGCGAGAGCCCATGCCCCGGCGAACCTTTTGTTGACGGCTTCACTCTGAATTTAGCTTCTGGTCGCCGGTTTCCGTTGTTTGCCAAGCTGGTTTGCAGTTTGCGGTTTGCCCTCTTGGGCAACCCCAGGGTTGTGTGTGCGTGTGTCTGTTCCCAAGGGTTCTCCGAGAGAAGTGCAGAAGTGCAGTGCGATGTTTCCAGCAGAGGGGCAATCTGCGCTGTCAGAGCGATTGCCCAACGAAGAGGCTTTGACTAGGCACTGATATCAGTCCGGGACGCCGGACTGACGTACCTTCCACATTGGCCGCCCAAATGTACCCTCAACATACGTTTTCCGTTGTGCATGCCGCACGCTGATTGCTGATGTGGAAGCAAGGTGTTAGCTGTAAGGCAGCGTGAAGAGTGTTCACTGAGCTTGTCTGTGCTGCTTCTCCGACTGCGGATATATTACCTGCAAGTGAGGCATTAGGTCTAAGGCTGATTCCTACGCTCACTGATTTCATTCTGACTTTGAGTGATTGGGTCCTGCCGACACAATCTGTCAAGTAAGTGTGTGTCTGTGTGTGTGTGTATGTTTTTGTGTATGAGACATATTATTTTTTGGGCGTCCGAGGAACTTTAAACCTGAAATCTTGAACGTTCGCGCCACACTGGTCGCCTGAACGTGTAAATTCCAAATCCAAAACTTTCGGCCGGACTGGACCATAAGTGCTGAACAGTAGCCTAAGCTCCCCGAATGCCTCTAGGCTAGGATCCACATTTCAAAATCACCAAACTATGAGCCTTCAGCGCAGCTTGTCGCTCGGTCTGCACTGACTTGTGCATGATGTTTTGTACTTGTGCGACTTTACTCCTCCATGGCCTCAATATTGAATACAAGCCTGGGGAGCTTGGACCCGGGAAGCGGCTGATGAAGATGTCCTGCGCTGAAACTGACCTTGCTCTGTCGTGGAGTTGTCGTTTTGGGTCGGCTTTCACTCCCTGCCCATCCTGCCCCGGGCCCCAACACAAGCATTTCGACCGCATGTCCAACATGTCACCAAGAGGAGCAAATCAGAAGCATCACAAGCCCGCAGCCAGAATATGAAAGCACAAGGCACTCTTGATGTGTCCTAGATTGTCCTGAGACATTGATGCTTCTGTGCGCGCTCCGGGGGTGGCCATAAGGCACAGTACCGCACCGCAGCACCAACAATTCAAAACATACCGGGCTCTGCCGCTGTGACCGCTGTGACCGAGATAAGGACGGAATCGGCTGCGAATGTCGGATTCACTGCGCTGTACCTGCAGCACGTTGTGATGCACCGTGCAGGCAAAAGGTCATTAGCGAGACGCATGTCTCAATTGTAATAACTTTGTTAAATTGTGTTAATTTTGCATGTGACTACAACCACATCTCGGGTGCACTTCTCGGCAGATCCGCAGAACCTCTTCGGCAATATCAGGATCCGGCAGATACCTTCGTGTCTTACCTACTCAGATCTTTCAGGACTGAAGGCCTGTTGGACTGCCAACAAAGTGCCGACGCAATCGCGAGAAGTCTCCGAGCTCAGCTGTCCAAAGCCTTCAGAGAAAAAACCAATCGACAATCGCCTAATATTGGATGTATCACACATTGACATCAAGCCGACGACGACAACGACAACGACACCACCACGACCACGACCACGACCACGATCACCGCCGTCGGCACCGGCACAGGGACCAGCAACACCAGCAGCAACAAACGAACAAACAGACAAACATACTAACTGACGAACAGACTAACGGACCGACAGCAGTAACAGCAACAGCAGCAGCAACAGCAGCAACATCAGCGGCAACAACGGCCGCAACAACAAGAAGGTCAAGGACAAGCCAAATTACACATCCCATGTTTTTGGTCTGCACGTTTTCATACTTGTTCAGCGCACCTTGCAGTGGTGATGTCTTAACCACAAACGCGACATGCACACCTGCGGTGCGAGGCTCAATCTGCATTGTACAAGGAATTAAAGTTAATCCCCGATCAGTACTTTGCTTATGTTCGTTTATGTCAGCCCTGCTTGGTTCCTTTCGTCGGCTTTCGTGCCTTTATATACCTGTTAACGAAAAGCGAGCTTTCGAATGTCTCTTGATTGACCCGTAGTATTTTTTCTGAGAGATGAGGGGTCTTGTGTTTTCACGAAGAGGAGGTGATTTCTTTCTACCTACGATCTTATGGAACCGGACTGGGTACAAGAGCTCTGGGACTTGTTCAGACTCGCAGAGCTGGCCTAATTTATGCCTGCGAGCAAACGAAAGGACTCCCACATTTCTTCTGAGAATTGTGGAGGTCGTTGCAAATTGACCCTGATGGGAAAGTTCCAGATGACGCTTGTTGTACTGTCAAGAAAGTCAAGATATGAACGGTCTCTGTTGAGTTTCGAGCGCGTGCATCTGTTGAAGTGCAGCTGCTGCTTGCTCTTGATCAGACAGACGACTGTCACTGATCAAGCTTGCTTAGAAGAATCAACCACTGCTGTTTGATGTTGTTTTCGTAGCTATGAGCAAGAACTCGAAGATAGACACAAAAGCTATGACATGCTTTGTGCGGGGATTCCGCAGCTGCCCATACTTCTCATGAAAAGATAGAATAGAACAACTGGAGAACTCTTTTGGTTCGTCAGAACAAACGAAGACCTAATGAATGGGAATGACGGGACTGTTCCTGTTCTAGTTAAACGGTGGGACAATTCTTTCCCAAATTCGATCTTCATCTTCCACCAAGAGATACACAGGTTCTCCTATCTCAGGGGTTGAGCAAACTCAATTCTGGGTGCTCGCGGATACCGTGCGTTGTACAGCAGGGATAGGCATACTCTGCCGGATGTTGAGGGCGGGTGCTGCAGGTGGCTGGAGTGAGGGATAGATACTCTGCCGAATAAGGAGATTCTTTGCGGACGGGCACTGCGCCACAAAACCAAACCTTAAATGTGTCTTCACGTGTTCTTATGCATGTGCGTGCGTAATTGTGCATGTGCATGCAGCAGTAGATGTACATATGCGTCTACATGGGCATGAGGTGGCCATAAAGCCCGCCAGTGCGTATTGCCAACATGAGAACACTGGTTTAACAAAAGCTGGAGGAGGATGTCGAAGAGCTTTTCTGACTTTGAAGAACACGTAGCCAGATCTTGAACGGCAAAAGTCTGAGAACTGCACGCATCCACCAGCTTCAGGCCGAAGCTCTTATTACTGCCTTGCCGCTTCTTGAAAGGCTTGGAAGCTCGACCGCTTCAAACTGAACTAAGCAGAACTTTGATTTACTGAAGGCCGCAATTCAGCCGAAATGCCAAGAATCAAATGCAGAAATGGTCGGCGGAAAGCCAAATTCTGAAATTGCGATGCCTCGGCTTCTATTTGCCTGACTGTGCAGGGATACCCTCACCTCATGCAATTTATCAGTCAAGATTCCCAGTCATGGCAGGGAACGCTTGGAAAAGCAAGCTGATCCTCGGGTCATGGCGGATCTATGCCGAACAGAATCAGAAGCCGAGCTTGCTCAGGATACATTGCTCTGCCACGAGCCGTCAATGTTAGTGCAGCGGAGCTCTGCATTCGGAACCGAATGCGAGCATCCGAAGGCGTACCCGCTGTCTTTGGCGAATGGCAATTCGTCCCGTGTTATGAACTTCTCTTCAGACCAAGCTCCAATGCAAACAAGAGCAGCAATCCGCTCAGAACACTTCCCTTCAGAACGTTCAACTGGTCCTTGGATGTTGCACTTGGCTGTCTGGCCTGCTGCTTGAAATGTTCGGCCTTCCCCGACTGCTGTGTTCAGCTCAGTCTCTGGAAGATTGAACATCAGAATTTGCAATATCCACACAACAGGAAGCAACATTGCAGCTAACGCCATCAGTCCCACCGACCACCTGACCAAGGAGTATTCACCTACTCAACAGGGAACATTTGCACACATTACAGACATGCCTGTATTCTGGCGTCCGCACGATGTCCCAGCTGAACTGCAGGTATGCCTCAAATCACCCATTCCCTCGCACAACCTCGCACGCACAGATTAAACTGCCAGATTTGGAATGAATATTCCCCGGATGCCGGCAAATGAACCACACTCCTTTGAAGGCATGCCATGTCAGTGTCGAAGACGGAACCCATCAACGAACAACCAAGCCATAACGAACGGACAAAAACACCAGGCAATGCGAGGCAATTCGATGTCACCGACCACTTCAAGACTCAAGACATGCAGCGACACGGGTTGGTGTCCTCGTTTGCATCGTGGAGTATCCGCAAGTGTCTTCGTTGCCGCGGACTCGCTGATGCCGCATGAAGTCAACATGCACGAAAAGAGAAGGGGAGGGAAAGAGAGAGAGAGAGAGAAAGAGAGCGAGAGAGACCCATGCGGAGTTTGCTTGTGTAAGAGAAAACCGGGTGGTGATCTTGGTTTGCAGAACGCGACTGATCTGAACAGTTGCGAAGATGGTGCGAAGGGCTGTTGAGGCGCCTTCCACCCCCTATGTCATATGTGAGGGCCAGTGAATCTAGTAGCACCAATCCTGCCAGCCAATGTCGTGTACTCCTGTGCCTTACCTCCAATGTTCCCGTGTTTACTCTCAAGCAAGACACACACACACACAACCACACAAATCCACACACACACACACGCACACACAACCCCCCTCTCCCCGCGCACACACACACACAGACACACACACTTTGGCTCGGCACGAACTGATGCAAAGGAAGACTGACTGGACTAGACACGACAAAGACGGATTGTAAACTCCTGTTCGCTGTTTGGCCAACGATAGAAACAACAGCGCTTAAGGGTGCTTTGGGCTGGCCATGCTTGCAGGTACAGGTGGTTGATCAGACCACCCTTCCCCCATCTTGGAATAGCTTCGTTGGCACAGGTATCCAAGACGGGCCTGTGCCCCCTGCGTTCCCCCTGCGGGGATGAGAAAATGTCTGCGCTTCCCGTGCGGGAAGGAGAAAATGTTTGCGCACCCCCTGCGGGAAGGAAAAAGTGTTGCGCAGCATCCGCGGAAATCCTTTGTAAGAACAATGGAAGAAAAGCACTGTCAGTCGCCATGTACAGGCGTTTCCACACACACACGCCCTGCTTGGCAGGGCAAGTGCAATCTGACCGAATCAAAGGTCATGACGACATGTGTGTGTAAGAACAGAACTCTACAGTCGCGGTCAAAACGAGGGCTGTGTGTTGGGACATTGTGAAACATACATAAAATGGCAAGCACAACGTAAGTTGGCTCGAACTAACATCTTGGCACATGCACGGCTTCGAAAGGCACTGGGCCGATGAAACATCATAGGATCGCCCATTGTGGCACTGGAGTGTGCCTCGCTTGCAGCTTCAGACTCAGTAGTGGCAGAGCGGACAGAAGTCTTTTCCTTTTTCTTGGACTTCTTTGCTTTTTGGCGCTTGGTCTTCTTCTTGCTGCCTTTCTTTTTCTTGGTGGAATGCGCAGACTTGTCTTTCTTGGTCTTGGGGAGGTCCTTGGGAGGGTCGAAGGCTGATGACCATGAGCTTGCATCATCAGGAAGCTCATCATAATGTAGGTGCAGCTGTGAGGTGTTGCTCATGTTGAGCAAGCTAGATGCTGGCAAAAGAAACGGCTGCGAATGCATAGCATGCTTAAGAAATGAGGCGTGGGACAAGCTGCAAAAAGCAAAGCATTGGTTTGGCTATGATCGAAGCTGGATGCGTGTCCCGGGCGTGAGGGCCGGGAAAGATTAATTAGATGCAGACTCAGCTTGTCTGCGTTCAGGGAGAAAGGCTTCCTCTTGCCTTGGGGACTTGATGACGAGTCCTCATTGATGATCAAAGAGCGATCAGCAAGTTTTCGCCTGCGAAGCCACAGCCTGGTGACTTCGTACCACTGCCACCACCAGTGTTCGCCATCCGTATGCCAAGCCCAGCGCCAATGATGTTCTTGAGTGTTGACAGGCGGCACGGGAGATCGTGAGCGATCTGGCATGGTGATGATGTTTGTGGAATCCCTGCAACAAAATTGGCTGCGGTGCAAGCATGCTGACATTAACACGAGCAGTCTGCAGTAGGGAAAGACACAAAAGACGGCAGTGCACGCCTGTTTTACTTTCCGTCTATGCCCTAAGGTGAATGATGAGTCAACGTGGCAAACGTTGTTCAAGCTCTCGAACTCGTTGCTGCAGGTTGTTGATGTCCTGCGTCGTTTTCTCTTTGAAGTCGGCAAGCATGTCACGGAGTGCTCGATCGCGTAGGGCACTCGGTGTGGATGAGCCGCGGGATGGAGGGTTGTCTTCTTCACCAGCCGAGTCGTCTCCACCAAGAATCTCGAGCAGAGCACGAGTGATGGCTTCACGGCGTGCATTGGGGCTCTCTGGAAGCGTGTGTTCATCCATTGAGTACGAGGGCAAGTTTAAAGGACTACCTTAAGCCAAGCTCGGAACCTGTGCAAAAGTCCACGAGTCTACACTGCTGGCAAGGCAAAGATTATTTGCACAGACACGGCGGGCCGAGTCGGGCCGAGTCTTTTTTTCCGGAGGTGACACTCTGATCAGGCGAACTTCCAAAACTTCGCATTGAAATCAAAAGAATGAATGGGAAGGCCTCGTTGCTCCGCGAGGTCCCACAAATATCGGAGATCCATAAGAGCTTGTGCTCGAGGGTAGGAGCACTTTTTGACGGTATGAGCTCGGGCCAACACTCCGCTCAAAAGAACGGGTTGAGGAGCGGCGGAATGTATGCTGGGAATGTCATGTGTTTTGCATGCCCTGCTGTAAAGTATTCGGCGTTCCTCGAAGTCGAGGGTGAACCCACAAACTCATATGCTGGTTCCTCCTCGAGGACGATGGAGCCGCCATAAAAATGGTTATTCAACAGTAGGCGTATGCCCGGAAGCTGCTCGAATCGGCTTTCGGAGAGCCAGAGCCTGTTATCAACGTAACGTAGACCGAGAAGAGACCGATTCATGTTGGAGCAGCTGATGTTGAAAGTGCGCCGCCAGATTTCTTCTTGCGCGGCCATGACCATCCCGCATAAGGCGGGTGAAAGGGGGGAGCCCATGGGTGAGCCGAAGCATTGGCGGAAGTTTCGAGTTGAAACTTGGAAGCGCTGCAATGCAAGGGCGTGTCGTATGATGGTTGGTAGGTCTTCGCACCAGATGGTAACCTCCCGGGAAGCACGGGTGCGACGTTTGCCGCGGAAAACTCGCAGCTGCTGCGCTGGTCTTTAAGGTTGACTGAAAAAGTAGTGTCCGCTTGGGCACCATGTCTCTGCCTATAAAACTCCAGAGTGATTCGCCAGGCTTGCAGGAACTGAGACTGGGAGATAGAGTTAAAGAATCCGACAAGGTCCTGATTGCGGCAGTGCAGTTTTTCAGTGGTGCCGGATTGAAAGAATTCACGAACCTGATTCAAGAGTTCGTAGACATCTCCCTTAGAGAAGGCCTGAGGAAAGGCAAGGCTGCATATCCTGTGGAGAAGCCGAGAGGTGGCCTCCAACAACGGTCGCATGAAGGCATCGACAAAGGAGACGATGGGTCGTCCCGACGCAAAATCTTTTTTGCGCTTCGGTAGTACACTAGCTAGCACTTCGGTCCCGCCACCACCCCAAGACTCCGTCTAGGGTTCGTAGCAGCTACGCAGGTACTTTTCGGAAGTGCATACGCTCGTGGGATGACGGGTGTGCGCCGAAACGCCCACGGATATCGACGTTGAAGGTCGCGTTTAGCCGCCTTTTGGACCTTCTTGATTTGTTCCTCGAACGTGCGAGGAACTTCCTGAAACACCTGTGGATTGCCGAAGGTGCCCTCAAGCGTGCGATGATACAAGGTGGGGCAAAAACAGATTGATCTGAGGCTGTCCACAGCTTCCCGGTGGTACCTGGCTTGTACCTGGGTAAGGTGTTTTTTCCAAATCTGCTCGAAGACCTCGGTAAGGCCTCGCGGCGGGCCTGGCAGCGCGTTGGTGCGACACCAGCTTGACCATGCGTCAAGGAATTGGGTGCGGATCTGGGCCTTGTCGGGGAAGAAGGTGTCAGTGACAGAGCCACTGGCAATCTGTTTTTCAAACGAGCTCAAGGAATGTGTGAGTTCGATGCCCCTGGCTGCCACGTGGCCGCAAAATGTGGGGGCCTTGGGTGCGTACTTTTTTATGATGTCACACTTACATGTGGGCTCCTTGCGCGCTGCCCATTGCTTCAATGCATCCTGATGATTAAACAAAGCCTGGGCGATGCGTGGATGACGAGGGAAGACCACGGTTGTCTTCGGCACGTGGAAGGGGGTGATAGCATGGATGCACTCCGAGATGTAAGCCCGCATGCACATTCTTAGGTCTTGGCGGTAGGTGTCATGAGACAAGAACGGGACTCGTAGAGGTCGATGCCCCATGGGAGGGAGGAAGCCTCGGAACTTGAGAGCAGAGGTGATGGTGTTGAAAATAGAGCCTTCTTGGGCT